CTGGTAAGTTTTTTTCTCAGATGCCTCGAATGGCCTCTACAGACCTCTCCCAATCATTCAGATTTGTTAGGGCTACCTAATGAGGACATTGCAAATTACTCCTTTGCTTCCTGCCAGCTCCCCAGACTCAAAAGCTATTCTGGAAGCGTTAAACACATCTGTCAGATTTAACCAAATAAACATGTTCTTGCTGTTGTGCTATCTTGTTAGTGGTTGGGTTAATCAAAACACCAGTGAGAAGAGCTTTTTTTTTCCAGGTGGTTAATGAGGACCATATTTTGTAACTATGTGGATAAAAAAAAAAGGAGAACCATCATTATTTAAGAATATTGACTAAATCACTACTGCTGTCACTAGGCAGTTTTAAAGAAGAGTTTGAAAAAAATGTTTGATTTGGAAATCAACAGAGAATGGTGTAGGCTGTAAAATCAGACTCGGAGGAAAAATAAACAAATAAATAACCACGGAATGAAATGGTATTAGAAATACTATCTGCTTTAGTTTATCAGGACTAAAGTGAGAATAGTTTTCCCGGGGGGCATACATATTACAAGGTTAGGCCTGGTGTGACAGATCATTTTTACTTCTACCTTTAAAGATAAGGCTGTTCATTTTTATATGAACAGTATTTTCAGAAATCTTCATACAGAGACTAAACTGACAATGAATTGCTTAATGTCAATCAGTCAGTCAGTCCTGGAATAGTTTGTTCATCCGTGCCACAGACCTAAACAAATATGAGAGCTCGTGCAGGATCCCACGCATGTGCAGCTGACTATAACTCATGCTAACTTCACAATATTACGGCCACTCTGAGACTTTGGGGCAGCATAGTCGAGTCTGGGTTTTCATTACAAAAAGCGTGTCACCCAGTGGAGCGGTGTGTTTCCCTGATGTGTTTTTATTCATTTTTGAACAACAACAGAGGTCTGTCACACATATGAACAAGCTAATCCAGGACTTGACATTAGCCATGAGTAGAGGCAATTCATTGTCGGTTTTAGTCTCTGTATGAAAATACTATTAATATAGAAAGTGACCAGCCTTATCCTTTAAGAATTTCTTTTAAACCTTTACTATGTCACCAGTGTCATTTTGATTTGAGCTTGTGACTTTAATAACAGAAAGCCAAAATCCTCTTCAAACTGGTTTTAAAAAAAAAGGGCATTTAGAGGAATGGGGTTCTCTTGAAACAAAGAATCTAATTGTTTTATAGGAAATGGGATCCTGTGTTATTGGCGCTTGACCCATACTAGAGACTAAAAGTCATGATATGTTGCCCTCTGCTGCATCATGTGTTAAAATCTCACCTGCAGATTCCCCTAAAACTTGCTGAAGGACCCGTTTATCTAAGAAAGTGTTAATAAATCTAATACCTTGGCATAACCAGATATCTGCTAAACTAATCAAGCAAATTAGATACCTGACAAAAATAAGATTTTCATTAGAATAATGCAAAAATCATAGCAGTCCTTTTGCAGCGTTGGCAATGGCGTAAGGGTACCAAATATATTAAAAGGATAGCTACAATCATACATATGATATGGAAACATCTTGGACAAATTTGTACATGCTACCCAGTGCAGTATATCATCAGCCCCATCCTGGGGTCATTTTATTCCTGTTGTACTCACTGTGGTAGAACAAGCAGACTCAGTTGTTACATTATAAGATCACTTGAAGCATGTTCCCGCTTTACTGTACAGCACATTTAATAGGGCGGGTCCCTTGACTGCTGTTATTCTACAGTAAATTATTTACCATCTGGATGACAGGAATTATCGAGTGTGTGTGGAAAATTTAATTACTGACCTTCTCTTGTAATACTGATGATGCTGGCCAGAAGCTTTTCCCAACAACATAATGACAGTGACAGGTGAAACAAAAGGTCTTGTAATCCCTCCACAGCTACTGGCCAGATATTTAAATGTTAGGTTGGATTAGTGTTCTAATGGAGAGCAGCAGGTGGTAGTCCTTTGGTGATAGATACTTCACTGCATGTTTGCAATACCATGAGCCTCAATGTAAATTTAATGTTCCATTTGAAGATGCAAAGACAAATCTAAACTTTGCTCCCAGACTGGAAGCTTTGTGAAAATCACTGGATTTTGGATGTCCATTATTAAAATGCCTTGGCAAGGTACTCAAATGACAACATGACGATTACTCTAATCATAGTGTGTATATAGCTGGAATCTGTTGCTCAAAACTTCTTAGTTTTCAGCAGTTTTTTACACCATGTGGAACTGTTGGAGACTAATTTAGAGCCTCTGGTAAAGGGCCTGTAAGTCTGCTCAGTAGTACTAAAAGGCTCATTCACTGTAATTAGTTTTCTCGTGATGCAGAAAGTAACTGAGAGGCAGGATGCTTTACAATACATTATCTAATATTGTTACATAAGGGGGATTAGAAGATGGCCAGAGACCAACAGCCCAGTAATTAGTTCAAAGAGACCAGATGAACACCACTGAATATTGTTGGAAGGTTTAGACTTTCCATGAAAAACTCACTATGATGCTATTTAATTGACTGTATCACTGTATTTTTGATTCAGTTCTGGATTTTTCCAAGCTGTAGTTTTGTATTATTTAGCAACTTTCTGTGAAATGTCTCTTGAGGGAACAGCTATGCCCCTTTCTATAATGAACCTTGTCTGCACCTGGACATTATGGTATTTCTTTATCTGTCTATATGTGAGTAAAAGTAGGTACACACCTTTGGAACCCATGGTTTTAAAAACAGAAGCATTGATAAATTATAGTAACATTCTCTGACAAACATATTATGCACCTTGTAGTATCAGGAGATAAGCAGTAGGGGGGTACACACATTCACATGCACTATATATTTGTTCTCTACAACCTGAGACACTGTATTTTTTTTGTCTAACTGTCTTAAAGTTCCACTTACTCTGCACCAAGGGTGATCTTACTACAAAGTAGATCAACCAATTCAAATACTTGGCAGCTTTTTGTGAATTAAATGCATATATGGTGTCATTTGTATAGAAGCTGTTTCATTGTCTTGCAGTGAGTGACATAGGGCTTCTGATTGGCTACCAGTTTGAGGTAAAACATTTGACTGGCCAATAGGCTATGGTCAAGTATTCACTGAGTTAAAACGGAAACCCATGGGGAACATATATAAAGCCCTGTACTGTGTGAGCGCTCTGCAGATTCACAAGCAAGTCAGTCATTTAATCCTTCCTTATTAGAAGATCTGTTATCTCACGGTGAGTACAGATGAATGACTTTAGATGATAGTACAAACGATGCTGCTGCTGTCAGAAATATCAGATATGACACTGTGGTTTTTGGAGGTGACGACTAAGTAATACTGGTGAATAGTTGTTATCAGGCAAGATGCTGCTCTACCATACTAATCTGCTGATGGAGTTGCTGGCAAAACTTTCAGGATCAGTAATTACTAATAACTTTTCCTGCGCAACTTCAGCAGCTCTAAGAGTGAGGAAATGTCTGTGATAAAAAGGGAAATTGTCAGAGCCGTCAAAGCAAAAAGTACTGTACATAACTTTTCCTTACAGCAGTTTTTATTATCTTGTTTGGTGTTACATATGTTTTCCTCAGGAACTCATAATAATGCTGAAGCTCTGGACTCTCCTACTTGCCTGTGCGCTGATTATTTGTCAGATGTACATCTCACAGGCAGCTCCATCCAGGTGAGTCTTGTGGCATTATTCCCAAAGGCCAAAAATATTTTTACCTTGTAAGAAAATACTGATTGTGTCTGATATGCTGATATGTTTAAAATTATTTCTACAAAATACAATTCCTTTTTTTTTTACCTTAACTAATTAAATATTTGATTTTAAATCTATAAACCTCATTTCCTCAAAGTGCCAAAGATCATTTTGCATGCTGAGACCTTCATCACCAGTCTTAACACAGTGTCCTTATGGATAAATCAGATTGTTCAAACTTTTATCCCTTACATGTACACAGCTTTTTAAAACATTGTTGAGATCAAGCCTTTCAAGTGTGTATTTTCAGAACTAGTAAGGAGTCCATGTCAGATGGAGTCACCGGATTGAACGATGATGTGCAAAGGTTGTTCAAAACTATCAAGGAGTTCATGCAGATAACTTCAGATGAGCAAGACCACCCAGCAGCTGAAGGAAGCAGGTATGGCTTTTAATATTCTTAGTCTCAGTCTGTCGCAAAATATAACACACTTTTGTTCATAAGCCCAACAGCTCCAACTTTGGTATTTACAGGTATATAGTGAAATTCATGTAACTTGCTGTCACAATTCCTTAATGCATGGATTGCAATTATTCATTCATTCATCCATTCAGTTAGTATTAAAGAACACGCCTGAAATAGTGTCCTTGGTCAGAAAACTGAAGAGAGCATGATATCAAAGAACATGTGAGAACATACATGGTACACATTAGAAAATTTAATTGAACAATAGCATGATGACTCAACTGCAATATTTTGGTTAATGAAATATCTTCATATGTCTGTTAGATCTGCATGCCTTTTCTGTAAATGCATGACATTTAAGAAAAACATCATGCTTGCAATAATTCATATTTATCTGACAGCTTGAATACACACGTGTCTAAGTGTTGTGCAGGCTTAAGCACCTGTGTGCTGGGCAAGCTCTCCCAGGATACTCACAAACTACAAACCTTTCCCCACACCAACGTGGGAGCAGGGACACCTGGCAAGAAAAGAAGTCTGTCTGAGCAATATGAAAACTATGGCAGCTCATACAGTTGAAGCTCTCATATTTAGCCCATCCATTCTTTCTCTGAGTTAACTTTTGTTTGTTAACCCAGCTCTATTCATTCACAAGTCTGCTGATGCACGTGGACCTTTTTTGAGTTAATTTTCCACTGTAGGACATTAGATTTTGAAAGAGATTTGAAAACCTACACTATAAACAGCATCCAAATTGTCTTAAGCAATTCTGTATAATACAGTAAAAAATAAGAATAGCTAACAACCTTTCTTACATAATTTTTCCCTTTGTGGAAATAATTTAAATCAAGATTGAAAACTGACATTACTCAACGAATAAAAAATAAAATATAATGGTAAGCATGACTGTCTATATTACACACACACAATTATTACCTTTAAAATGTCCCTCTATGTTTAAATCTAAGTCTGTCATTTCTGACTTGATCTTGAGTATCTTAACAAACTGTGTTCAATGTCTTTTCACTTCTTACAAGCAATGCAGCAGCCCAGAAGCGGGCATGCAACACAGCCACCTGTGTAACCCACCGCCTGGCTGATTTCCTGAGTCGGTCAGGGGGACTGGGACACAGCAATTACGTTCCCACCAATGTGGGTGCCCAGGCGTTTGGCAGACGGAAGCGACACGGCCCTGTGTGAGCACAAGAATAGGTACATGGTATGTTTGCACACTATAAAACTGCTGGATTCGTAGTAACTGGTATTGACAATAAAGAACGCTGTTTTGTAACTGGGCCTAGAATTACTGTTAGTAGAAAGGGATCTGTCAAACACAAAATGCACTAGACTTTGACAGTTTTATATACTCATCAAGGGCAGTCTGTCAGTATATTATTGTCAAATATGTTAACAAAATTATGACCTTGTGTCAAAATTGCCAGGTTCTCAACACCATGTCCACCACCACACCATATGTGTAGTGTTGTCAAGTGTTGTTGTGGTTCAACAGTTGCACTATGGCTATAAAAATATGGGACTTCCTGTGATGGGTATTATGTTACATTAGCCCAACCACCAAGATTATAAATTACCTGAATCAGGCTATTTTGACTGTCAGATTTTTGTAAGTATCAGAATCAGAATCAGCTTTATTGGCCAGGTGTGTTGGACACGAGGAATTTGAGTCTGGCACAGCAGCTCTCAATGTGCATGTATATATCCCCATGCAAGGCAAGTATGAGCTCATTGTTCAGTATGTGGTCATACAGTACACTAACCAAACCACTCTGGCCTACATTGACAAAAGGTTAGCACCACTGAATGGTAACCGTTAGCCATTCCTTAAGACGGCTTACTTTACAAATAGGTGTTGATGGTGAATTGTGACTGTGTTGATCTTGTGGTCCAACAGTTCCACTACAACTGAAGAACTTTGTCATATTGATTGCCTTATCTCTCTTCCTATATTTCCTGTTAAGCTCTACAGTCAAACTGTGAAAGAAAGCCAAGTACCTTGTTAAAATATTTTCTCAGTCTGAAAATTTACTTTTTGTTTTCTCTCCTCTCTTTGACTTTCTAGGACCAGGTGCCTCATTTGAGTGAGAAAATTACGCCATCATCCACCTACAAACACTTTGAAATGAGAGCATCATTTAGAAAAACATCCTTCATAAACATGGACTTGCTTTCAGACTACCAGACAGTTGCCAGTATTGTTAGCCCGTATTTAACAACAAAGAAATCATCATGGAAAGGTGACTGAGAAGATATTTTCTTCTGCTAAGGAGGACAAGAATGGATTATTTTTTGTGAAAGTCTGTGACTCAGCTGCACATCTGATCTGTCAGTGTGTCAGACTGGAAGTCTAGTACTGTACATCTGCACTACCAACAAAATGTTCAATAACTGTGGCTGTCTGGTGCCTTGATGTAAAATTTATTAGATTTCATTGTAGTGTGAGAAATGTACAGATGATTCTAGATTGTAATTGTGAACTGACAGCAAGAATAAATTGTATTTTAGCTACATTAGGCTTTCACGGCTTACTGTACGCATTCTTCTTTGATTAGAGTGATTTAAGATAAAAATCATTCATCTTTCCAGCACCACTGCAAATTCATTTCAAAAAGTGGCACTTAAGATCCTATGAAAAACAGGGCATGCTAAAAAAAAACACTGTGTTATGACATTTACTTTTCTATTTTTCATGGAAATAGAGAGAACATATTAACTACACAATTCACTACGCGTACATAATTAGACAATCTCCACACCTGAATAAAGAATAATCACTTAATAAAAATGTTTGAGTTTTAAACTGGTGTTTGAAGCTGTTTTGTTATAGGATACACTGGTAAGGGTGTCAGTGACATTTGTAGCATGCAGTAGCTTACTACAGCTGGCTCATTTTGCATTCTGGTGGTTACAATAACTCACTGTTTTCTCATTGGAAATGGAGCTGTAATAAAATAAAATAGTCTTTGTTGAAGGTTATGTTTAGTTTTCCCCTGCAGCTTATCAATACCTGGTTTCTAATAAAGATTTTATGTCATTATCGCAGTAAAAATATATCAGAAAAATACATTCCAAGCATTTGCAATGAACTTTAAACAGGCTATGTGCTTCTTACATTATTTTGGGTATTGCTTTTTATAAGTCCCACCGGGGAACATCATGCCCCACTTAACAATCCTGCAATATAACTGGGTATCAAATCAAATCAAATCAAATTTTATTTGTATAGCGCCAAATCACAACAAAAGTCATCTCAGGACACTTTACAAAGTAAGGTCTAGACCTTACTGTTATCAATATTATTACATAGGGAAAACCCAACAAATCCCCCTTGAGCAAGCACTTGGCGACAGTGGGGAGGAAAAACTCCCTTTAACGAAAGAAACCTCTGACAGACCCCGGCTCTTGGTGGGCGGCCTTCTGCCTCGACCGGTTGGGGTGAGTGGATAGAGGAGAGACAAAAGAAGAAAAGCAACAAGACACAACAATCAAACACTGATCAGGTCGATGTGGCCGGTGACTGCTGAGAGCAGGAGGGGAGGGGAAAGAAACTCAGAGCATCATGGGGCCCCCAGCAGCCTAGGCCTATAGCAGCATAACTAAGGGAAGGCTCAGGGTCACCTGATCCAGCCCTAACTATAAGCTTTATCAAAAAGGAACGTCTTAAGTCTAATCTTAAAGGTAGAGAGGGTGTCCGCCTCCCGAACTGAGACTGGGAGTTGGTTCCATAGGAGAGGAGCTTGATAGCTAAAGGCTCTGCCTCCCATTCTGCTTCTGTGGACTCTAGGAACCGCAAGTAAACCTGCACTCTGAGAGCAAAGTGCTCTGCTCGGATGATAAGGCTCTACGAGGTCTTTAAGATATGATGGAGCCTTGTCATTAAGGGCTTTGTATGTTAGGAGAAGGTTTTTAAATTCTATTCTGAATTTTACAGGGAGCCAGTGGAGAGAAGCTAATATGGGAGAGATATGATCTCTCTTGCTCGTTCCTGTCAGTCCTCTGGCTGCAGCATTTTGGATTAACTGGAGGCTTTTTAGGGAATTATTGTGACATCCTGATAGTAAAGAGTTACAGTAGTCCAGCCTGGAAGTAACAAATGCATGGACCAGTTTTTCAGCATCACTTTGAGACAGGATGCTCCTGATTTTTGTAATATTGCGCAGGTGAAAGAAGGCAGATCTAGAGACTTGGATTTTGTGTGATTTAAAGGACATATTCTGATCAAAGATGACTCACAGGTTCCTCACAGTAGTACTGGAGGCAAGAGCTATGTCATCTAAAGTAACTATATGATTAGACAGCAGATTTCTAAGGTTTTCAGGCCCAAGCACAATAACTTCAGTTTTGTCAGAGTTTAGAAGTAAGAAGGTGCAGGTCATGCAGGCCTTTATGTCTTTAAGACATGCTTGAAGTTTGACCAGCTGACCTGATTCATTTGGCTTCATAGATAAATATAACTGAGTATCATCTGCATAGCAATGGACATTTATGTTGTGCTTCCTGATAATATTGCCTAAAGGGAGCATGTATAAAGTGAAGAGAATTGGACCTAACACAGAGACCTGTGGAACGCCGTGACTAATTTCATATATATTATCAGATTTCACAAAATCTAAAACCACTGGAAATTAGGGAAGAGATTTTAACTTTATGATAATTTCTCTACTGACTATAAGCAACCCAAGTGAAGTCTGTACCCAAGCTAGTCTGTGATAACACCTAAAGGGGTACACCAATCATCTTGACATTCCTTGAGTATTTTTATGAATGTCGGCTACATTCATTTATACAGATAATGCAGCCATACACTGTGATTGTTGTTTCCAATAATTAATTATTGTATGGCATAATGACGTTCTGATTGTCTTGTAAGTGTTTAATCAATGGTCAGTAACATAAATATGTGCCACTCTCACTTAGTAACTTCTCCACCACTTTTGTTTCCTTGTAGCAGCAGTTAATCAGACCTTTTTATACAAAGCAAAGGATAGTCCCAGGAACCATTTGTTATAAGCTTAATAGCCCTCTTGAGTATCATTTTCATTCCCTTAGAGTCCCTGTGTAACAGACCCTGAGCTTCATGGCCGCCAGTCTTGCCTAATTGACATGCTTGTTTTACCAGTTGTTTGCGTCCTCTATTCTAGTGTCTCTAAGGGTATGCCACATCACAAGTCTGAACTGAATGCAGTCTCATGATTGCATGGCACATATTATGGCAAGTATTGCCTGTGTACCCTGGCGCTCTCTTCCATCATCGTACATATGTCTGAATGAAGCTGTGAGGAGCATTAACGTAAAAGTGATCAGTGACTGAATGACAGAAAACCGTCACTTTCAAAGATTAATGAATCCAGCAATGTTAGGTATCCCATGTCTGAAAAGGGCATGTGTTACTGGTGTGCCCTTCCAGTGTGGGGACCTAGACGTCTGGTAGCTATCTTACAAATGCCCTGTGTGTCTTGTATTTATTAGTGGCACAGTGTCATTGATGCTATCACCTAAGACCCGGCCCAGCTAATATCATCCTACTGCAGACCTGTTTCAGACCTGACATGTAACTGAGTGATCACCAGC